GGGCTCGGGGTCTGTGTGCTCCCCAATGCCCTCTCCCCGGCAGTAGCTTGTGTGAGCTCCTGTGTGGGTTCCCCTCTCCGGCGGTAACAGGTCTCCTTGCCTTTTTCCTCCAGAAGAGGTTGAAGACACCAGCGAGCCGACCAAGCGCGACCGGTCCCACTTGGAGAGCACCCTCAAGCTGAATGAGGACAAACCTGCTGATGATTTCTCAGGTGAGGGGGCCTGGGTGGCACTGGGCCATGTACACCCTGCTCTTCCAGCCCACGCGATCCCTGCAGGACAGGCTCCGAACCATTCTGCCGCGCCGAGATCGCGGATGGGATTTTCCTTCCCTAGAGTGTTTTGGTTTTAACCTTCTTGTAGGTTCAGCAACAGCATATCTTCAATAACAGCCCTTTTGCTGCTATTGGGTTAACGTATTTTAAAGACAGCCCCAAGGGCATACAAGAATTTGGAGGGTAGAGAGGCTGGAAGATGCAGGTGGTGAATCAGCCCAAGCCGGCCACATCCCTGCCCAGAAAAACCTGGGGCAACTTGTAATAAAGGGTTGGGATTTTTATTGCAATTATTTTTTGGGTTTTGCTATTATAAGGCTTGATTCTGCTGGCCCCATGGGCAGTCTGGACTGGAAAGAAAGTGATAAAAGCTGCTGTCAAAAAAGCTCCTTCTTTCTTCTAGCAAGAACTTTAAGGGCTGTGCTGGGGTCTCCGGCACCACAGTGGAGGGTTTTTCAGGACCACGGGTGTTTAGTGCTAAGCAGCATTAACAAGAGATGTTCCTTCCATCAGCTGCTGGCAGCAGATGGGGACAGTGCCCAGCGGGAAACACTAGCAGGGGAGAGGCATCAAAATGTGTGACCGGGATCAGTTTGGCCAAGACTTCCACTGTGAGTCAAGTCCCTTGATCCACAGCTGAGTCACCATCAAGATCTGCATGGAATGCCCAGCAGCTTACCTAGGAGGGACTCAACCAGGGTGGTGGGGTTTGCCTTTCACCCACCCGCATGCTTCTGTCCCTGCAGGAGTACTGCAGCGGCTGAGGAAGATCTACCACTCCTCCATCAAGCCCCTGGAGCAGTCCTACAGATACAACGAGCTGAGACAGCATGAGATCACAGGTAATGCCACGGGCACCGGGGTCTCTGGCACCATCAGGTCATTGGGATGCAGATAACAGCACAGATCATGGAAAGGCTCGGATAGTTTGTCTTCCTTTGCAGCTTTCCAAGAAGTCCATGAGCACGCTGGGCTTAGAGGACATGCCCTAGTGAACCCAGCGGCAGGCAATCCTGCACATGTCCTCGCCCAACCCAGCGGCAGGCCTTCCTGCATCTGCCTTAGCCCATCTGCTGTCAGGACCATCTGTGTAGGCTGAGCACTGAACCCTGCCTGCTTCGGGTCCTCCACCTGCTCAACATCAATGCCCTGTACCCCTGCCAAGCAGCGATCACAGCCCAACGAAACAGGCTTGGCAAGGAAGCTTAGGACCTCTCAAGGCTGGGGATGAGCTTCCTGGGGGTGGCTGGAGCTGGCATCCTTCCTGCTCAGTATGGGACACAGCCATGTGGGCAGGGTATCGCTCAAGCTCGGCAGCCTTCGCTCATCCTGGGAGTTAGAGTTTCCGCCCCTTGGCAATTACAGACACATTGGATCAGGTGAGCAGGTCCCCGTGGCCACGGGCATTGGCTTGGGCTGAGCCCCAGCAGTACACGTGTCCCTCCAGAAGAGGAAAGTGCAGCCTGGGCCCCAAGATGCTCACAAGCTGCAGGAAGCTCTTGTGACCCGTGTGACACAAGTTGACCCATTTTCCAAGCCCAAGTCTGAGGTCCCTGTTTGCCAGGGTAACTCTCCTGTGAGCCCCTACCCAAGCCCCATCCTGAACTGGGGCCAGATGTCCCCTGTGCCTTGGCTGGGCAGGCAGGGGACGCGGGAGCCCCTGCTGCCTGTGTCCCAGGGCTGCATGCCCACATGAGCATCCTGCCAGGCTCCCTCCTTGTCCTGAAGTTCTGCTTGTCTCCGTAGGTGTCCTCTGGGCTTTGGCCTCACACCCCCTGGAGCCATGCCCTCCCTCCTGCTGAGGCAGGACCCAGATACAACCCTCCACATCACCTCCCTTTGCAGCTGGGCTCCTCTGCTCCACCGGCACATGGGTCCCACATTCATTTGCGCAAACCCCTGGGGACACATCCCCTTAGAGCCGAACCCCTGTTTTACAGACGCCCCCCACTGCAGCCCAAATGCAACGCCTAAATTAGCATCAGACATGTTGCAAGCAGGCTTAAACCTCTCCATACCCAGCCAGCCCATCTCCAGCTTAGTGCCAGCGGGGAGCACGGGAGACCCATGGGGCAGGGACAGGACTGTAGGGTCCTCATCACCAACCCAGGTCCTGTCCCCTTAAGACACAGAGCTCCCTGGACATCATCCACACCCCCCCACAGGGGTTCTCAGCTTAGTGCCAGCGGGGAGCACGGGAGACCCATGGGGCAGGGACAGGACTGTAGGGTCCTCATCACCAACCCAGGTCCTGTCCCCTTAAGACACAGAGTTCCCTGGACATCATCCACACCCACCCACAGGGGTTCTGGAGGGGGCATTTGCAGGTCTTGTGAAACACGGGCAATGCCTAGCTGCCTCCAGCAGCCAGCTCCATGTCGCTGCCTGTGCCTGCCTCGCTCTGTGCCGCTTCCCGCAGCTGCGGACCATGATCTGCTCGCCGTGTGGGACAGTAGCTGGGAGGGTCACAGCAACATGCTATGCTGCAGCCAACACAGGAGGGGTGCCCTGGAGACCCTCACCCCATAGCTGCCGTCACCCACCCAGCATGCTGGCCTGTGTCCCCCCCCCACGCAGCCAGCACAGCGCTGCCATGTGCGTGGGGCAGGAGCACCACAAGCTGTGGGGTCGGCACCGTGGTGTGCATCCCCACGGCCCCTTCAGCAGTGGCACCGTGCAGCAAGGACAGCCCAGCCATGCTTCGCCCCAGCGGTCTCCATCCTGGAGCTCACAGATTTAGCAACACCCTGACCCCCCTCCCACTCGCTTTGCTCCGCGTCGGTGGCGGTGCAAGCATCGGCACTTACTGCCAGCTCACCCTGGGACACTGTTTCGGAGAACATTTGGGGTTATAAGGGCAGCTGGTGGGCTCCAGCCTCTAACCCTCGTTTTGCTGTTCACTGCCAGAGGATACAGCTCCCAGTGCACAACCCGTTTCCTTGCTCAGGACATCCCACCCTGCCCTTCAGCCATCCCATACCCAAGCAGCCACCTCCCCGCTCCCTTTTTGGGAGGAAACAAGTATTTCTCAGGCCCCTGCTGGCTTCCTCCCCTCCAGCTCCTGAGGAAACAGCCACCAATCCCTTGTGTTTCCCCATCCTGAAACCCAGCTTTGGAGCAGGACTTGCCACAGACAGCAGTGGTGGTCAGTCAGGTGGTCCTGGTGTCCCTCACAGCCTCATCTCACAACACTCCATAGCCTGTCCTGCTTCCCCATGGGGAACATCCTGACAGCCCCCCAGGTCAGCTCCTGGCACGAGTGCCCAGCACACCCTGCTGTGTCCCGCACGGCACCCTCCCAGCAGTGCAGATGCCATCTCAGAGCTGGTAACCCGTCGTCACAGCTTCCTGATAACACACCTTACAGACCGGGGAAGGGCACACGGGCTGCCTGTAGCCCTCGTCTCAGCCACGAGAGGCCCTGGCCATGCTCCCGTCAGAGATGTATCTCCTACCACCAAACTCCTTGAGCACCTCGAGCACCACAACCATAACCCAGCACACATAACCTTCAGCCTGGAGATCTGAAGCCCAGCAGTTTGCCTTTAACACCCGCAGATCCAGCTTTTCCCAGTCCCTCATTAGCCGCGTAATTAGAGAAACCTGCAAATTAGTTAGAGCATTGGCCCAGGGAGCCCTCTTGACTTTACAAGGCAGATGAGGATACGGTGGGGCTGAGGGACCTCTCTCAGCCACTTCCTCTGCATGGTGGCCCTGTCCCGAGTGGGCTCATCGCATCGGTGGTGGCCCCGCAGCTGGGAGATGCCCCCAGCTTCTCCCCCTGCGCCCACCCCCATGGCAGGGGGGAGGCTGGAGGGCGCAGAGCTGCCGGCTCGGCTGGCTGGGAGGAGCGGGACAGCTGGGAGAGCAGCGGGGCAGGCCTGTCATGGAATATGTGTGACCTTTGGAGGTGAAAGCCAATATAGAGGGGTGCCGTCGCAAGCACCTTCGCCCCTCCATTACACGGCAGCCCTCCATTTTGTCTCCCTTCCCATCGGCTCCGCTCGCGCGCAGCAGCCGGGGTAATCCAAGGATCCCCTCTGCTCCCCGCAGCTCACAAAAACACCTACCTAGATGAGTGTCACCTCTCCCGGCGGAGCTGTGACTGCCGCTGTCAACCTAAGACTCCAAATCGTTGGGGTGCATCCCAGAAAACTCACCCCACACCCTCTGCTTAACAGCGTGTTTAAGCCCGGCAGGTGCCATCTCCTTCTCCCCGCCTGCCCTCCTCCCGCATCTCCACTCTGCCGTCCCACGTGGGTGCCTGCACGCTCCAGCTGGGTCCGCTTGTGTGCTTGGTCACAGCAGGGCCACCCTGTAGGGGTGATGGGAAGCTTGCTGTGAAGTCGTGCCAGTTTATGGTGCATGCTGGCGACCCTAATTACGCTATATGTGCTGATTAG